AATGTTGTCAGCAAATAAGTAGAGTAACGAAATCGATTTCATCATAATTAATTCAATGGGTTGAATTAATTGCTGCAATAAAGAGTAAATTATGAATTAATTAATATTCTGCAAAATCGATGGAAAAGCGTTAAAAAAAAAAATTAGATTTACATTTGTTACCTATGAATATGGATTTTATAATTGAGAAATAATCGACTATAGACTGATTTTATTGTTATAATTAATAGATACTGTATGATAGCAGTTTAATTGGTTTAACTATAGAAAAAGAATTAATGAAGTGCTTAAATCAACGCAATAATTATATCGATGTACGTACAGAAATAGTTTACCAGCAGGATATTTAAGACTGAGTTTCACAGGGTCTAAGAATAGAAACGGTCGAATACTGTAATGGGTTAGGCTATATACCGTACAGGAAAAAGTTTGATGCAGTATCTAAAATCGACGAACTTTGTTAACGTTAACGTTAATAAAAAATGTAAATGACGTAATAGATTTTTTAAATATTACCCAGTCCACACTTCCTAATAAAGCACCGTAATTATAATTGTATCCCAAAAATATTCTATGCTCAAATTTATCCGTGCACTAACAAATTTGTCCGAATGCAGTTGTTTATACTCGGCGCTCTACAGTAAGTTAAAATCGCATCGCGTTAATTTAAACAATTACATTTTATTTATCATGTTTGTTCTTTTTTTCTTTTTTCTTTCTTTTTTCTTTCTTTTTTCCTTTTTTTTGTTTATAACTAGGGTTATTTTTAAAATAATAACTTGCTTTTGTGAACAGTATAACTTACCCTATAAAAAAATGCTTGTTCTAAAATATTCGGAATGGAGTCGATTTTCCGAACGATGTTTGTACGGGACGCAAAAATAGAGAATTTTTTTGATTGAATAATTATCGTACAAAAACTATACAAAAAATGTATAACACCCAATAAACATCCTGTAAATGTTCGATTTTCCGAACAAAAAAACCGGAACTTTCAGAATGATTCCAAGAGATTTTTTTTATATGATTATACATATCATTACAAGTGCCGGATGTAAAAAAAAAAAAAAAAAGAAAAAAAGCATACTTTACGAACCATTTCTTAACGTAATTCCTATTGTCACAATTATTTTTTGTGTACAATATATTTCTAATAAGTAATTAAGGTTTAATTATGATACTCCTTATTTCCATTTCGTTCCAAGGAGCAATGATTATTTTCATTTCTGATTGACGTGTGAATTCGCTCTATTGTGAAATCTTATTTTGCACCATTGCATTGATTATGAAAGAATACCATTCGTCATGCCCTAGAGGTAGTAATTGAATCGAATTCTAATTAATAAAGATATCTTTTATGGCTTGATATTTTCTAACTAACCTTGAAACAAATGTATGTTTATTCTCCATCCACATCTACGTACTATTGGCATACAGTATGTATGCGCGATGTTCTCTCAGCTGATGATGACAACTGAAGCCTATAATTATGCTTTATTACCGTTATGCACATTATTAGTTACATCTTACTTTCGTCCCCAATGGTCGTAAAGTGCATTTGACGGCTTGTATGCTTGTATGCTTGTATGCTAATACGTTCTGCTACGATGTATTAAACGCACGATGCGAACAAATACATTCAAAGTCCGAAATCCAACTCCAGACAGCTGGTAATTACAAAAATGATTACAAAAAATTTTTTCCCTTTTCCATATCTCCTAGAGAAATCCTCGAAACAAAAACTGTGTAATGTTATTTGTAGTGCTTGCAGATCGTAAGCTTTCAGGATTTTGAACTTTTGGGATTTTTAAATAAGATCAATGAATATCGTACCACCTCGGATTTAGACATTAAATTAACATGCATCACCGAAAATAATCCTTTTTAATTACTGTACAGCACGAACATGGTACTTTACGCAAATTACCCCTACCGAAATTTTTTATATTTAAAAAGCCACCATGTACAATAACTACAGAGTACTACTTAAAACTTGTTTATGATAAACGGCATGGTAGAATGCGATTAGAAAATCAAACAAAAGATTAGATTTATTGAAAAAATTAACTGGACTAAAGTATTATGAATAGCTACCCCTTTTTACAATCTTTATACGTAGCCGAAATTATTATCCAAACTCCGATTATTAAAAAAAAAAAACAAAACCGGAATTTTTATTTATATCCAAGTCGTCTTAACTGTTGCCGGCTTTTAGCATACATACATATATACGTACGCATATATATGCGTATAATTGATTCCTAGTTGCTAGCCGATGCGATTGTTCCCCTGATATGTTAATCGACATAGAAATCCTTTTTCTAAAAGTTTCATTAACATTTCATTTCGAAAAAAAAATAGAAATTTCATAACATTCGTTTGTATTTATAAAAAAAAGATTTTATATGATCTCCAAAACTAGGACAGACTAAGACAGACTAAGACAGACTAGGACAGACTAAGACAGACTAAAGTTATTTTCCACGATATAAGTATATTTTAAGTTTTATATACAATTTTTGTTTGTTTTTCGGTGTCTTTAACATTAAATGGAAGATAGCATATATTTTACTTTTGCAAGCAATAAAGTTAGCCGTGTAACTAGGGGTGTGCAGTTATTAGAATTTAAAATTATGTAAGCTAGACATAACTATTTACATGCGCACACGTAAGTGCGTACGTACTTAGGTATGTACGTACGTACCTTTTGATCAAAAGGTGTCATCACGTGAGCTATATCTAATCGTAGAACCGATGAGATTAAAATATTCGTTACTTTAATAAAAAAAAAACACAATATTCTCTTGTTCACAAATAATAAACGAATATAGATATAGTGTGTATCATCAATCACATTTTCATCGTGGAAGAAAATCATATATTACAAGAGCGTACAATTCGATGGTTTTATTACATTGTTATGAATGAGTATTTAACGCATGAACATGAGCTAAGTACCCGAACTTAACAAATCATTTAAATTAATTAAATAAATTATAATTATTTAAAGTAAAAAGTTATTGTATGCATAAAAATTTTTTTTATCTGGTTTATCAAGTTATATAGTAAAAATATATCGGAAGTTACGCGATTGTACTATGCATCATAGTAAATATAACTTATCGTGTAATATTTATACCTTTATCAAGATTAATAGATATTAACCATAAATATTTTAATATTGGCACGTATAACAATAGACAAATATTTATTTCCATATGAAATTTTTTTTTTACACAAAGAACCAAAATTCTGTGACCTACGACAATATCACCTTTCCAAGATCGACAATATTCATGTTTGCATTGAGAAACACGAATGACCAAAAACCATTCTTTTGATGGTGAGATAAAATTTTTTGCATTTTATTTTGACCAATCGTCAAACTATCAAATAAACATGTGTCAGCACGCACAAAAGAATATGTATATATATAGTTGATATAATTTATATAGTTTATATAAATATGTAATAAATAAAAAATTTTTCCAAACACAATCTAATACACGTATGTGACATTTTCCGATGCGTTAGAGCCTTCTTTACTTCTTTTGCATGTTACTCATGCCAAAAATCAAACAAATCGGTTCAAATCAAACAAATTGGTTCAATACGCGCACCAATATTCTCTTAAATTCACTTTTTTAGGCTATTCAATAGGAATTCCTAATCTAGAGAGTTTACGATTCATTTGAATTAAAATCAATGTTTTTTCATGTTTGATCTACCTTTTGATATGTATACACATAGTTGCGAAAACATAATATTTTGACTTTGTATATTTTAATTATTTATATTATTTGTGCTCCGAAAATAGCAATGTACTATAGATTATATTATGGTGTTAGAGTCGGCTAAACTTTAATAGTATGACGTCATTCGAGTTTAGTCATGTGTATGAATGCGTATCAATAACAAATAAAGTAGACAAATCATCGAGTGGCGTCGTGTTCATCCAATCAAATCATTGATTTCAATACAAAAACTCGGTAACCATGCGTAGATAATCGTATCATTTCCGAATCAATCAATTTCAAAGAATTTCTCAAAGGGTCTCAAAAGACCATTAATTGTATTACAATTAGAGTCTTATAAAATATATTAGTATTAGATCAAGTGAACCAAATAATGCCCAGAAACCTTCATTTGCAATGTTCAATTCATTGAAATGATTTGATCTACGTGTAGAGTTCAATCGTTGATTAGGTGCAGATGACTGCAATTGCTGTAATATTAATAATAAAAAGGACTATATGTTAGCTTATATTTACGTTGTTTAATTGTGTATAATTTTGATTTACCTTTTTTTTTAAAAAAAAAATGTGTGTTTATTTAACAAGTAAAAATTTGTTCCACAATAATAATAATTTCTTCGGATAAACTGTGTTATACGATAAAAGATGTTATATAAAAAATATTAAAAAATATATAAAGGATATATAAAAGATAATAAAAGATATATAAAAGATATATAAAAGATATATAATATCAGATAGATAAAAGAAACAATTAAAAATCAATTTTTCTTATGCCTCTTTAAATGAATAAAAATTGTCCCACATTATAGTTATTATCATTAGTAATAATTGCTTCGAAGAAATTTATAATATATAAAAGATATGTAGTAATAATCAAAGTTTTCTTCTTCTATCCCCCTAAATTAAAAATCTAAATTAAAAATGAAACAAAATTCTTACAATAGTGTGTAGAAATAAAGTGTGGAAATATATTAAATATACTTACTTTTCACTGTGCTATTCCAATTCAAGTATAACACTGTGTTACTATTGTTCGACACGTATTTATTTCCCTAGTGACAAATAAGAGGTGCATCAGTTATTTTAAGCAGAATATTGATGCACAGACAAAATTTTTTACTTTTTACCAAATTACTTTCCCTCGGGGGTTTTTTTTTTTTTTGCAACACGCTGTTTTTTTTAAAAGCGCATTTATTCGTATCGATGATCGTAAAAAGAACTTAAAAATTTATAATTCTTAAAATGTCTGGTCAACTTAGCAACAAAACATTTTCTTTAAAACAAAAATCATGCATTCCAGCCTTAGACGATGTAATTGTTAATCTTCCTTTTCCACCAAATTTTAATGTCGCGGCTGATATTATTAATAAGAGAAAACCTTCACAAATTAATTTAAAAGCTCCAAATGCTTTTTTAATATATCGTAAAGTTTTTCTAGACCACCTTTGTACTATAAATCACAATCTTAAGATGACTGATGTTTCAAAATTAGTCAGTACTCATTGGAAAAATGAACCTGAATCAGTTAAATCATTTTACAAAGAGGTCTCTCAACAAGTTGAATGTGAACTTAACGAAAGAAGAAAGGCAAATGTATCATTCTGTAGAGTGGTTTGGAAAAACTCAAAATTATCGGGACTTTCTAACCAAAGGCGAAAGGTAGCAAAGAAAAAAAGACAATTTAATTTTAGTGCTAAAACTTCATCTAGACATCCGCAACGTAACAATTTATTTTATGAATTTATTAATGTCACACCGGAAGCTATTCTTGCATCCAAACCAGGAATGTTGAAAACTGATAATTTTTCGCTTCCTGCTTCTGCTGCAAGTCGCAAAATTTCAAATGCTATGACAAGAGAAAAATCACATGATATTAGATATAATAAGAACAATTCTAATCATGTCACATACTCACGTGATAATGAACACCGAGCTGGAATGAATCCAGAGTTAGTCGATCCTGAAGGAAGTATTCCTTCACCAACTAATTACAATGACACTTTAGGGGAAGCTCTTTATCATGGAGAATTTATGCAATATGCTTTTAATCAAAATATAGATTTTTCTCAGAATATTCTAAACTTTAATTATGATATAAATTATGATATATTAGACTATTATTTACAAGATTTTTCTGAGTAGAACGGTATCAGTTACGAGCTTTTCTAAATTTGATCTAAGGATTATTTTATGAGATACAATTTTGTCACTTTACAAACCTTTTTCTTATACTTATCTAGCATTATATGTGTATATATTTTTGTTCGCATATATAGTGATCAATTTTAAGCTACATGTAAAAATAATTTTTTACTGCATTATGATAAAAAAAAAAAATTTCTTTTTATACAAAGTGTTGGGAATCAATTCTACGCCGTGTATAACTCAAAGCATCAATCAATTATACTCAGCCATACTTTGTGAATATTACATATTATATATAAATATATATATTTCTTTGTTTTAAATCAGATGCCTTTTTTTTAAAGTTCTTTCATTATAATGTAATAAAAAAATCTGTTCATAAAGCTATTAATATATTTTAAATTTTATGCATGTTAAATCTAAAATGTTGGTTGCATTCTATTTGATCAGTGTGTTTTTTTTAGCGATTTTTAAAAAGAACAGTATATATTCAATTTTTCACACATATCCCAGATCGGCGCTAATTTTTCTCAATCAGGAAGATGTTTGCTTAATCAGGTTAATCTATTGATGATGCAAATATTTCAACAGGAAAAAGTTCATAATGATAAATTCAAAGAAAAAAAAAAAAACAATATTCAAATATACTATATAGTAAGTTCAAGATAATAACGATAGTAATATAATTAGAAATACTGAAAATCGCTGTGCTTGCTTGTGATTGGCTAATATTCATGCCTAAAAAATTTTAGTACTCCCTATATCTGTATACGTACGTATGTACGTATATAATTATGCCGCAAAAACTATACAAGTTGTACAACGATTGCTGCATGTATATGTATTTAAACGGGGTTTATATCGAATATTGACTTAAAGAGTAATTAAGCGGAGAAAATAATTAACTAAGGTTAAAAAATATTAAGCAATTTTGAGATATGTAATACGTAACGTAAGGGGTTGTCGCGACAATTCATAAACAAACTGCTAAGATTCATACATTATAATTTAGAAAATTATTTTTATTATTATAACAATTCTTTGTCAAGAATATTTTCCCCAACATTTCATTTTTCACGACATCTCGACAAAAAAAATAATTGATTTTACAAACCTTTTCTGAATTCTTCGCAGCTATTATTTTTTTTTGTCTAATACTTCGTATTACAATTAGATATGCAATAGTTACTAACGGCTTACCAATAACATTTCTAATAGTGTTTCATGATGACATGACGTAGTACGTACGTACGTACGCACTCACGCACGCACGTATTAGTATATATGTAATTGTAACGTCATCAAAAGCGTCGCATCCTAACAATTATGTATAGTCGTCCGTCAAAACACATGCGGCATGACACAACTTTTCCTTGCTATTTTTAGAGTATATATTATTCAAATTCTGAATAAACATTATTATTTATAAATGTGTTATTTTTATAATCTCAACTATTCTGTTTTTACAATGAATGCTATATTTTATTAGCACAAGGATTAATGCTTGGCAGTATAATTCAAACCTTGGTTGGTAATGATGTAATTATAAACAGCCAAAGTATTAGTTGTCTTTTTTTCTTTTTGCTAGTTATGCTTAAAGTTAGTATCTGTCTGATGTTACAACTTCAAGCGCCTGAAATTGCATCTGCCCAACCTTGCTAAATAACGCATGCAAAAATATTTCTAATTCAGTAAAGTGCAACTTCGGGTACCTGGAACTGTAACTCCAAACTTGGTGTCGGCTTCAAGCACGATAGTATCATTATCTAATGTCTTATCTAATGTTATGGGCTTATGAGCTTATATGAAATTATCAAAGACCCTATCCATATTTTATAATGGCTTAGTTATTCTTAATTAGTATGTTTTTGATAGCACGTTTTGATAGCACGTTTTGATAGCATGTTTTGATATGTTTTGTTCAAGTTCAAAAGAACGTTTCATCTTAACTCTTGAAATTTTCTTTTACAATAATAAACATGTCTTCGTTACATTAGATGCGCGTGGGAACTTTGATCGTCTTAGAATGGTTTAAACTAATCTTGTTTTGTAAAAAATTTTATTTACTTTTATAAGGTTTTCAAATATGTAAATGTAAACAGCAAATACAACAGTTATGAAGTGCAGTAAAAATATTAAAAATATTTAAGGCGACAAAGTGATAAGGTATTCTACGTGGCGTCATTTCCAATGAAGTGATTTTAATCCTTTAAACTAAACTTCATTTTTTTTAATTCTGATATTAATTTTATGTTAAAATATCGTTTATCCTGAAATAATTCAATTTCTTATGTTCCAAGAAATTTAAATATATTCAATTTCAAATTATTTTTTTTTTGTTACAGAGAGTATTCGACGACTCAAGTAACTATCAATTACGAAGCCTTTAAGTATAACCACCAAAATATCCTATGTAAGCGCCGATTAAAAATATATTTAAATTAAGCCTATAATTCACAATTACTAATTATCGTAAATTCAAGTACGCCCATGGGCGTTATTTTTTTTTTTTTTTTTTTTTTTTAAGCGAGGGTCTACCTCTTTTTTTTTTTTTTATTTGTTTTTTAT